CAAAACGACCGAGCGTGGACTGTGAACAGGGAAGAAGCAGACGAAAAAGGTACTGTTCATGAGAAAACAAAGTGCTCGGTGAAGATGATGGTGTGGTTAGATGTATGCGGACAGGAGCTAACAGTATTGGTTATTTTGAAAGATAGAACAATGGATGCCGAAAGATGTATTGATGAAGTTCTTCCAAGAGCTCTAAATTCCGGCAAAAAGATGTTAGGAAACGAGTGAACATTTCAGCAAGATGGTGCAAGACCTCACACACGTAATCTCAGTCAAAAAACGGTGTGCTGATCATTTTTCCACATACATTCCGAAGACTCGTTGGCCATCAAAGGATGTTGGTGTGGGTGTGGATTTGGCTGCGATATTCTATTCGTTTACACCGACACCGACACCCACACCTGCACACACACTCACACCCACATCCACACTCACACCCACACCCTACATACACCCACATCCACACCCACACCCTCCAATCTATTCAATAAGCAAATTTTATCCATTACAGCTGTAAAGACAGTTGATCATAAATAATGAATGAAATAGAAAATTAAACGATCAATTCACAGCTTTCTTTAAGAACTCGTCGGTACACATTGATTGAAGTCTCGTAATGATGAATTTTGCTATGGCTGCTTCTCATATTGACCCTGACACTGATCATCTAATCGATAGACACGTTTCTCCTTCGAAAATTGAGATTCGAATGAAACTCGAATAGCATCTGATTTTATAGAAATATTAGCTTCTTTTACTCAAAAATAAGACTGATGAAAAAAAGAAGGCTATTGCAATGGAAAATATACTCCATAACCTTCTCTGAAAAATGTTTTTATTTTAAAATTAACAAATGGTGCATCAATCAATGCAATTTTTCACGCTAATCCCAAATATGTCACTATTTTTCTTTCAAAGGTCTTTGTGACAAAGAAGTCGCAAAAAATCTTTTGAAAACCAACCCGAAGCATTTGCACATTTTTGTGCCAACTGAGTATATGTTCCAAATATCTAGAAGAACATTCTCGGAAAGTTTCGTTGATATCGGATTAGTGGAAAAAAAGTGACGGTCAGCTTTCCTGAAGGCAACTTTTCGGAAAATCAATAATTGTTTTTTCAGCATAAAAAATTTTCTTTACAAATCGGTAGAGTAGAAGTCCTAGTTTCAGATTATATATATGATTTATTTTCCAACCCTTCTTATTTTTGACAAGAAAAAAAATTATATTTTTCTCTGAAGGTGCTGAAATTCGATCTTGTTTGCGACTAATTTTTTCCAATGAATTTAGCAGCTGAGACAAAATTTTCTTTTACTAAAAAACTGATTGTTAAGCAAAATGTATAAATTACTATTCAAATCTCGAAAAAGTTCACTGTCATTTTTCACCTAATGTCCATGTTGTTGTCTATTGTGGACTGCCCATGATTTTTTTGTATTTTTTTCCACATGATAAATCTTGTCTTAATTCTACAGTGCAACTATTTTTGTTTCTCTCGTCCCGATTCTACTTTGTGGATAGTTTTCCTTACTTTATCCACGATCAGAATGTAGCCGTTGGCTTGTGACTTAGTGTCGACAAAATAATTATAATCGTACAATGACAGTTAATTAGACGTGTAGGCAAACTTTTATCGAAGACAATGTATTCGACCTATAGTTTTCAAATTAAATTATAACATTCAATATCTAATGGAATTATCTATATAAAATTTAAATTGAAGAGAAATCTTGTGTTCATCACTGGTTTTTTTTTAATTATTCAGTCGGTTCAAATCATAACTAAATAAAAAAATGTCATATCATTCAATTTTGATTAGTCTGACAGCTTTAGCGGCTGTTATTTGCTGAAAGAAAAATAAAGAACATATGCATTATGGATTTATTAAACATAACATAGTCTTAGTTATATATATATCATAAGAAAAGAAAAAGCAATTTATCTGTTATGAACATAATAAAAAGACAGTTGTTACTTCTATTGAATGAGAAATCTCTGTTGGTTATTCATATTCTAATAATGGGTTGCTTCTTTTTTTTTTTGCTTTCTTCTTAATGTCAATCTTATACGATAGATTCTAGAAGAAATAATTGATTGTATTTATCTTTTAAGATGTATAATAATTAACAATAATGGTATAAATTCAACAGATAATGAATTTGTAAACTTCATAACAAATGCGTCATCAATATGGGACTATCAACAATTAATTATTTGTATTATTAGTATATTATTTGGTACTTTTCATTTTATTGTAATATTTATTGTACTGGCTGTGATTATTTTATATCGAATACGACATGATAAGCGTCAATTGAATTTAAGAGAATTATGACGAATTAGTGATTTTATGTAATAAGACTTTATTAAATTTATTTGTGTTTTGAAATGTAAAGAAAAAAAAAACAGAATTCTTTCAAAAGAAAGTGATATGTGGAATTGCATTTAGTTTATTTATAGCATCAAGCACGACGTATACTAGAACAATTTGTGTAAATCTAAATAAAGAAATTTTTTATGTTAAGAAAGAATAGAATTCTACAATCTCGGAACATTATTAAACATACGCAAAAAAAGAATGTTAACTAATAGACGAAAATTATTATGTTGATGGCTCCGAAAAGAAGTCATTAGTTGAGCGACAACTAAAATAAATGTTTATTACAAATTAAAATGAGAAAATTCAGACTAAGTTTTAACATTATTTCTTCAACCCAATCGTGATCTATGCCTATCTCTATTTTTCATCACTTGTAACTCAGTATAATATTTAAGATCGATAAATGCTACGGATACATTCTATAGTGTCGAAAGACTTTCTAAATCATCAGTTTTATCTGTCATTGAAACAACTCTAATCTATAGTATATACTCAGGGATATTTCAAGGTCGCCAGGATTGAAGAAAGAATCATTCCCTCGATCTCTCTTGAAATATTCCTACATATGTTAAACTTTTTACTAAAGACTCATTGAATGATATTATATTTATATCAATAATGTTGTATCTAACGAATTAATTAGGACTAAAGTCTGTTATATTCCAATGGACAGTTTTGTGACTAATTTTTGTTCAATCGCAATAGTGAAGTTACTCGAAAAAAGTTGTAAGAAGGGGACGAAGTCCTCTGTTAATCTGTATAAAAGGAGCTTAAACCTAGTTTTAAGCGAAACTCAATTGTTTATAGAGGGCATTAAGTCTTCTCTATTTCCTGTGTAGTTACTTTAGTAGACATAGCATTAAGAAATGATGAAGCTATATTGCTTTTTTTCTATGGTTGTTATATCGGTTCAGTCACGGTAAGAAATTTATGCATACCATACAAAAGCTGTTAACGCCATACTTTTACTTAATCCTCGAAAAATGCAATAAAGAAATAGTTTATATATTATAATGAAATGTTAGTGATATATGGTCCGTGATCGTATATCGACGTGTGTTACAATCTGTGACACTCTCTCACCAGGAAATATTTTCAACTGAGTAATCATTTTTGAATCCGGACTCGGTGCATAAGGTAGCATCCAATGAGATGTGAAAAAACTTCAAAGGATAACCTTCCTTATGCTTTCTGTCTCGAGTTATAAGCATCTTACTAGAATTTTTAACCTCTGGTATGATGATACCAACAAATCCAATGATGATATTTTGACTTCAGATTTTGTCGACAGACAGATTTATTTGTCAGGAGAATGTCCTGGAAATTTCAACTCAAAAGAATGTTTTCTTCCCGAATTTTTTTTAAAAAACTCTTGACAGAAGACCTAACGGTATTTATCCTTTGAAGCTTTTTCATATTTCACTTGATTCTACCTTATGTACAGATTCTAAATTCAAAAAGGATTGATTAATTGACAATGTTTTCTCGTGAGTAGCGTCTGTCACTGTCTGTGCAGAGGGAAGATTCGAAATTTTCATCTCTATACTTCAACACTTGTTTTTTTTCTTATCCTTGTAATTAGTGACATCTAGGATCTGTTTTTTGTAACTGTAAAGAGATTAAATATATAGATTTAATAAAACTTGAATAATAATTATAATTCTTTGTTTATCTTGAAAATATGTTTTAGAAAATATCATTTATTATTCCTTGTCGAGGTTTTACTCAGCTCCCTGAATGCTCCATCACAATGACAGCAATGTCGACGAATGAAATGAACAAGAATAAGAGCGAATAACCGCTACTACATTTGCACATACTACGTATATAATCTAGTTTGCTTGTTTATTTACTTCTGTACGATATTTTTTCTTTCCCTATTCTCTATTTTTATTACTGAACAAAAAGCCTATTTAAATTTTCTATATATCTATATATCTTCATTTAATAAAGTATGAATTATTAAAATCACTATTCATTAAAATAAAATATCTCTCTTGTCCTTTTTTTTATATTTTAGGAATGAAGACATGGAAAACGAAACTTTACAACGCCGTTCAACGGCTACAATTACGAATATGGGTAAAAATTCTTCTATTAGTTTTTTCTTTTTTTACAATAAATGATTATTTATTTTTCTTTTCAGGAATAAATTCTTATTCTACATTTGGCGCTCAAGGTGATCTCACTGACGATAAATTAACTATTTTACCTGTACTACAAGATACACATTGTATTACTCAAGAACGACGTACAACTGACATAAAACATACATTCTACGACGAACAGTTATCCTCAAGGTTAATTAATAATCTCTGATTTATTTAAAGATATATATATATATAAATTTTGTATTTAGTAATACAACAATGAATTGGGATATGGAAACTAATTATATATGTCCATCAGTTGTACATCATTCCTCAAATAATAATTATATACATTTAACTGAGTGTGTTTTACAAACAAATCCATCAACAACAGTTATTCAAAATACACAAACAATGAAATTAAGTAAGAAAATTTTATGAACCAAAAAAAAAATAATTTTTTTTTTCTATATTTTTAAATATAGATAATGATGATGAAATACAACAAGATAGTATTATTAATACAACACAACAAACTTTGACAACTAATATTGGAACAACAAAACAAAATTTTACAAATTTCACTAATACAGATCTCAATGGTAGATCAATTTGTTTTGTCTTATGCCGAGTTATCCTAAATCTGAGGAAACTTGTAAGACATGTCTTGTGATTTGTAGATCATTAAAGAATGTCTGAAGAAGTTTAATTTATCATAGTTGATTAAATTGAAAATATTCGAATGATAAGTATAAGAGTTATACCTGTTGTAAAAAACTATAGATTTATAAAATTTTCTACTACGAATTAGATTTTTCATATGTTATATATACAGTGAATATCACAATTATTCAACAAGATTTATTTTTTCCACTACCATAAGCGTTACAAAGAATCTATAGAGAAAATTGTTTCCGAAAGGAATATAAGGAAATAAAAATTATTATCAGGTTTCTAGAGAAAGGAATTCCGGAGAATCAAAAGGCCTAGTTTTTCAGTACCTAGGATGGTTAAATATAGTTTTGTTTAAACTACATAGAACAAATGATTCTCTACAAAATGAAACGCCTCCAAGTTCTCTGTGATGTTTTTTAGGTGAGATACAGCAATCATACGGAAGCGCCCGAAGCCATTTTTCTTCCAATTTTCTATAAAAAAAAAAAACATTTTTTGACGTTTCATCGAGTTGCCGTATCTCAGCTAATAAACGTTGTAGAAACCTTGACAATATTTTATTTTGTAGAGGATGATTTATTCTATCGTTCAATGTAGTATTATATTTACGCGCTCTAGATGTTGAAAAACTAGAGTTTTCTAGAGTTTCTATCTTTGTGAATCTCTATAGACGTTAGTTCCGCCGAGTTATAATTGGAAAAATTAGTCTTTAACGATGTGACACAAAAAAAAAGGACGCAAGTTTCCATTTAAAAATACTTCAACTTCAAATAATATTTTTGAAAGCAGAATAGTGCATTTTGTAGAGAATCTTTAATAAAATCGAGTTTATTCGTCGTTATCGATATGACCGACCAGTGAAGTTTTCCGAGCAATCTATCGTTTTTTGCATCGAGACTATTTGTATTATGTAGATCCAAATGAGTTATGAATATCCTCAAAAGAGTTTGTGCACTTAGCTTATTGCTACGAAGATACTATATTCAATTTGAAACTTTGCATAGAGGCAGGCCTTAACGAGAATAGCTTATCATGAAAGTTTCAGATTTTTCGATTGTGTCTATTCTGAAATATGAACATCGGATTTTGCCATTGTAGATGAGCGACGTGAAAAACATGGCTTTTACCGTAAACTACTCTCATTAAGATCGGTCTCTATGAAAAGCTTCAAATCGAAATTCAAAAATCAGTTTTCTGTTATCATGACATTTATCTAAAAAAAATACTCTATAAGTACATAGTATCTACGTAGAAATTTTGATTTTTTTAGGTTCAAAAGTTATTCGTCTTGTTCGTGCTAAACAAGCTACTAAACGTAAATCAAGTTTAGATACATTAATTGAAGTTGTACAAAAAGAATTACTTCGTGTAAATGGTCAATCAAATTCAACTTCACCATCATCATCACCTCCTCATTATTCTCAAACACGTACATCAACATCATCAAAACAATTACAACACCACCACCACCAACAACAACAACAACAGTCGCAACAACATCGATCAATAATATCATCTGTATTACCATCATCACATCCAAGTTCATTAACATCTCAATCAAATCATTCATTTAAAATAGCACGTAAACGAACAAATCATCATTTAAATAATACAAAACGAATACCAACTAATCGACATCGTAGTAAATCATTTAATAATAATGATGATTTTACAGATGATATTGATTTTATGGATGATGATGATATTAATAATAATCATAATGAACAACAACAACAACAAGAACGACAACAATTAAATGAATCTATGGATGGTGATGATAATGATGATATACAATCATCATCAGAAAATATTGAAGACATTGTTCGTGATACTGTTGATAAACTTGTTGCGATAACACTACTTAATAATGCACCATTTATTGTTAATATGATTACTGGTACACCTGGTAATACAACTAGTACAAATAATGAATCAAAACCATTGACAAATATTGTTAATACAAATGTAAGGATTTCTTTTTTTTTTTTTTTACATAGGATTCTAAACTATTTTCAAACATATATTTATATTTTCCTTCTCAAGTAAGATTGAACTACTATCAGTAAAGTTTGTCGAAAAACTTCAAAAATTATGTCTGTACAAAGCAACATATCAGTTTGTGTTCTGGAATTAGGAAGCTGCAGGTCCGGGTTATACGTTTTTGTGGACTTGCTGCTCTCCAGATGAGAAATACAGCAACAAGATATAACTGTACATTGAGTTTTTTTCTGAGAGTAGTGAATAAATATCTGAAATTTTGATTTCTCACTTGTTTATGTACACGAAGAGTGCCAGGTATTGATGGAAAAAAACCTCTGGTTTGGGTTCGAGTTCAAATTTTAAACTGTATTCAGGTCCAGGGAGTTCTACTTATGTATTCATAGTTCGCTAGTGACTATTGAGTTTGTCTTTTTCATATCTTCCATGTAATATATTTTCTTAACAGTAACAACTAGAGTAAATCAGAGAAAAGATTTGAATAGTTGAAACAATTTTCTATCAGAAGAAATATTTGTCAAACTTCTGTTAGCAGGTTTGAGTGAAAGATTTCCGAACTGATTTGCTATCAGAAATATTTTTTTTTTGCAAACAATTTCATATAATAGAAAAACATTTCTGAATAAAATAAGATCTCTACGACCTATCTTTATCGAACTGTACTCATTCTATGAAAAGCTTAGAAGAGACTACGCAAGGAAATTTAACAAGTAATTCTTCTAATAGAAAATTGTTTCAACTAATAAAATCTTTTCTTCGATTTGTTCTAACTGTAGCAAAAAAAAAAGTACAAAAATACTTTGTTTCAAAACTTTCTGTTTTCATCTTAAATATAAAATATTTAATTTATCCTTTTTTTTAGACTACATCTACTATAAAACCTATTTCAACAATATCCTCATCGGATTATTATCGTAATGATCTTGCATTACTCTCATCAACTGCAAGTGAATTACGAAATTCCATGCAACAAACATCACCTATTAAACAACAACAACAACAACAACAACAAATGATTTTACAACCAACAACATCTACAACAATTCAAACAAATTCTTCAATTATTCCAACTGATCAAATAAAATCTTCAACACCAACTTTATTTGTTACTCCACCACGTATATTAAATTTACAAACTGTTATACCAAAACCAACAACAAATATTCAAATTGGTAATACAAAAATTATTCTTGTATCATCATCAACAAATCTTCCTCCTCCTCCTCCCCCACCACCACCTCACCACCACCAACAACAACAATGTCTTGTTAATAATAGTCCAGTTAAATTAGTTAAATTAACTTCAGCATTACCAAAAAATGTTCAAATTGTTATACCATCACGAACATCAAATGAATCTCTTTCAACAACAACAACAATTCATCCATTAACAACTTGTTCTATTGATCAAATACCACAAGCAGCACAAGAAGTAACTATAACAACATCACCAAATTTAAATAAATTACGTCGACGTTCATCAAGTACAACACCAACCGATAAACCTGTTGGTAAAATTTTACGACCAATTGCTAAAGTTCTTCCAGTTTATTCATCGAATAATAGTAATCATGGTTAGTTTTAATTATAATAATAAATTTTTAATTTTGTTGATTTTTTCTGTTTTTATTCTTTAGTAACTAATTCATCATCGACTATAACAACAAGTCCAAGACATGATGAAATAACTAAACCAATGGCAATTAATTTTCAACAACGATCAACATCAACGCATGGTCCTATGATTTATCGAATGACATCGGTGAATTCAAGTATGTTTTACAAAAACAAAACAAAACAGAAAACAATTTTCATTGATTTCTAGATGTACCTGTTTTTCGTGTACGTGCAACAACTACTCCAACAACTTCAACAATCAATACTGATTCAAAACCAATATCAGTTGCTACAACTACAAACATGTGTTATGAACCTAAACAAACACATAATACAACAACAACAGGTGGATCAGTTTCTGTACTTGCTTGTTTTAAAACAACAAAGAAAAGAAATAAGGTTTGTTATTTTTCTAATATTTTTTTTTGCATTTTGAATAACAAAAAAAAAATAAAAAAATAAAAATTATAATTTAATTGATTAAGTAAATATAAAAATTTAATTTGGGATGAAATCTTACAAGCGAAAGTCATATACTGTAAGTTAAATAGATCGATCATATTGAGATCAAATTAATTAATTTAAAATATGAACTATCTATAGATTAGCATTTAATTTTCTTGTGTCGTCATGGTTGAATAGAACTCAGCGAATTACCTAAGAATCAATAGGATTATAAGTAGTTCAATGATATATGTAAACTTCTAAAGAAAGACTTTCTGTATCTAATAATGTACCTATTATATCAAGTACTCCTGCTGATATGTCAATCAGTGGCACTATCTATCGACATGCCAACGGTACATAGTAGAACTTGATATTGCATACATCATTAGATAGAGGAAGTTTTTCTCTACAAGTTTACATATATCCTATTCTGTAGTCAACATTGTATAATTGTCTTTTCTAACTCTTATTCTACACAACTCTACCTTGTATTCAATAATAATAGTATCTTGGACTTTGTTGTAAAATTGCTTTTGAATATGTGTAATATTATTTTTTTTTTCTTATGTAACCTGCTGGACTCTATTTGATCATGCTGAAATTTTGGAGTATGATCAAATATTTCGATCCACAAGCATTATGAGCAGCTTATATTTTAAAATAATTAGAGCATTTAATTGATTCAAATATGATCAGTCTTCTGAACTTACAGTATACAACTTTCCATTGTTAGTCCAAAATTTTGCAAATCTTTACACATTGATTATTGGGCTGAGATTGATAGAAAATCCATTGGGGTTTTTCACTATTAATTTTTATAAGTATCTATAAACAGAAAATAGACATAAAAGAAATTGCAATTTTATCATGTTTTGACTTTTCTTAAAGGAACGAGCTATTATGCCACGTCCAACTACAACAGATTCTATTGATACTTCTCATGATTTACAACAACGACTAAATATTACAACAGCAACTAATAATTTATCAACATTAACTACAACAAATGTACCTTTAATTATTAATAATCATAATGCAACAGATGATTTAACAAATGGTAATTCAACAATTTTTTCATCACCTGATTATTGTCAACAATCAACATCAACACGTCTTATACAACAATATAATTTACCAACAACACATTCGGATAAAACATTGTCAAATATACATTTATTATCAACACAACAACTTAATGATTCAACAATATCATCATATGATCTTAATAGATCATCTTCAAATAGTATTCCAATAAAACGTTGTAATTCAATACAATTAAATAATAATTCAAATTCAATTAAAACAATAACAACTCCATTAATATCACCAATACAATCATTATGTTCAACATCAAATATACGACCATTAATGGAAGACAAATGTATTCAATGTATTGATGATAATGAGAACAGTACTGAACATAATGAACAATTAACAAAAAGTAAATAATTAAATATTTTCAAATTTTTATTTTTTTTGTAAAAATTTGTTTTCTTTTCTCAAGATAATTTATCAAAAAAACGAAATAGACAATCTCATGATGATAATAATTTATCTAGTGATGAAAGTTGGACAGTAGCAGCTGACACGTAAGATTTTTTTCTTTAATGATATAATAGTTTAAACAGTTTCCTATCAAAGGGGGTGTGATAAAAAATATTTTATTTCGAAAATTTTTGCTTCCATGTTGTATCTATTTTATTTTAAAATAAATTATATAATATTTATTTTAGTCTTCTTCGTAATGTTCTATCACAATATGGTTTTCGTTTTTTGGATGTTAATTGTCAACAAAATTTATTAGCTAAATTTGATATTATTCAAGCTAATCTTGTCGTAAGTTTAGTTAATTCACTCAAATGAATATAACGGCACGCGCGCGTGGGTTATAATGAATAGTCGCTTTCTTACATGTCATCCTTTCATCACCTAATACATTTTATTTATAAAAAAACAAAAAAGCCTCTACAATTTACAAAGAAAAACTTATTTTATATATACACCTTTTGTTTTGTAAAAAAATAAAAGACAAAATTCTGTTCGACGATACGAACAAGGTCATTTTTTTTTCTCGTAAATGATTAATTCATTTGTTTATATCAATATTTTTTATTAGAATTTGTTTATATTGCAAGTTGACGGGATCCATATTGTACGTTTGTTTACACTAACGACGGTATAGCGTATATTACACCGAACAGTCTAGTAAATGATTGATGTCCGATTTGAATCATATGAGAAGACATATATTAAAAGACTAAGTATTGTAAAAGAATTATAATGTGATGAGATGTGCTTCTAAAAATGGTATCATGTCTCGAATTAAATTCTAATCTAGTAAAATATTATCTCATGAAAATTATATTGAAATTGTTCTTTGATATGTCCAATATTAATCGATAATTTTATCAATTGAATAAGACAGTACAATTATCTCATAAACATCAGAAAACGTTGATGAGGTGCATAGAGTATTTCATAGGCAAACATCCATGGCCAACAAATAATT